ATTAAAAATGGAAAAAAAAAAAAAGAGAATTTAATTATATTAATTCATTAAAATGAAAACAAATAAATAAATAAGTGTGGACATGAAGCATCCAACTGACCTCTTCAAGTCAGCTCACCCATGACTTGTCTGCTCCCCACTTCATTTTTTTAAAAATAAAAAATCATGAAAAATAAAATATTACTCAAAATAAAATAAAAAATAAATAAAAATCTCTCTCCTCTTTCTTTTCTCTCTCTAGACTTTAATTTAATTTAATTAAATTTATTAGCCCCTACTTCATTATTAGCGGGACATAATGTTGGATAATCTAGAGTGTTGATGCATTTGATTCTCAACATTTTTAAATAATATTCTTATTTATTTATTTATTTATTTAATAAACTTTGTGCTTAGTTGACTCAATAATGTTATTGAATAATAATATTCCAGACACATTTGCAATTAATTTTAAATATATCCATCCAAGACACAAAAATATTCTTATTTATTTATTTATTTATTTATTTTCATAAAATGGAAATTATTATGTTTAACAGCCATGACTTCTACTAGCAATGATTATAATTTTTCAATTAAAAAAAAACGAAATGAATTATTATTCATTATTTTATAATAAATGAGAGATGAAACCAAAATATAATTATGTTGCTTAACATGTTAGCCAATGGAATGAGGAGAGAGGGTGGCAATCATTTAATGTAACAACATTTCAGCAAATCATACCATAAAGTTCAAAATGAAATAAATTAATGCTATCGTATAACATCTTAATCTTAATCATTACTCGTTCATTTATATTCAATAAAATACAGTGAAAACATTATATTTGATGCAATAATTAAGATCCAAAATCAAAATTAGAAGCATAATAAGTGATCTATATGTATATAATTTGGAATTGGTGGGCACCGTCTTTTCCTTAGAGTGAAAGGCAAAGAGGAATGTTTCCAAAGTTTGCCCCAAATCAATATGAGACATAATAACAAAACTATACGCTGTATTACGGTTTTTAAATCATACTTACTAGAATCCATTCTTTTAGAGCCCAAATCTAGGAAGAGGTCATACTTACTAGAATCCATTCTTTTAGAGCCCAACATCTAGGAAGAGGTTTCCACTCCCAACGCTTCGTTCCCCCCTCCAATCAATGTGACATCCTTTAGGAGCCAGCATTCAACATGACATCCTTTAGGAGCCAGCATTTTAGGACTCAGCATCCGACATGACCCATTCAGGAACCAGCATTTCAGGACTTAGCATCCGACATGACCTCCTTCAGGAGCCAGCATTTCAAGACCCAGCATCCTATATGACCTCTTCAGGACCCAGCATCCTATGTGACCCCCTTCAGGACCCAGCATCCTATGTGACCCCCTTCAGGACCCAACATCCTATGTGACCCCCTTCAGGACCCAGCATCCAGCATTTCAAGACTCAACGTCCTATGTGACCCCTAGCATTTCAGGACCCAACATCCTACGTGACCCCCAGCATTTCAGGACCCAACATCCTACGTGACCCCAACATCCTACGTGACCCCAACATCCTACGTGACCCCAACATCCTACGTGACCCCAACATTTCAGGACCCAACATCCTACGTGACCCCCTTCACCCCCTTCAGGACCCAACATCCTACGTGACCCCCTTCAGGACCCAACATCCTACGTGACCCCCTTCAGGACCCAACATCCTACGTGACCCCCTTTAGGACCCAACATCCTACGTGACCCCCTTCAGGACCCAACATCCTACGTGACCCCCTTCAGGACCCAACATCCTACGTGACCCCCTTCAGGACCCAACATCCTACGTGATCCCCTTCAGGACCCAACATCCTACGTGATCCCCTTCAGGACCCAACATCCTACGTGATCCCCTTCAGGACCCAACATCCTACGTGATCCCCTTCAGGACCCAACATCCTACGTGATCCCCTTCAGGACCCAACATCCTACGTGATCCCCTTCAGGACCCAACATCCTACGTGATCCCCTTCAGGACCCAACATCCTACGTGATCCCCTTCAGGACCCAACATCCTACGTGATCCCCTTCAGGACCCAACATCCTACGTGATCCCCTTCAGGACCCAACATCCTACGTGACCCCCTTCAGGACCCAACATCCTACGTGACCCCCTTCAGGACCCAACATCCTACGTGACCCCCTTCAGGACCCAACATCCTACGTGACCCCCTTCAGGACCCAACATCCTACGTGACCCCCTTCAGGACCCAACATCCTACGTGACCCCCTTCAGGACCCAACATCCTACGTGATCCCCTTCAGGACCCAACATCCTACGTGATCCCCTTCAGGACCCAACATCCTACGTGATCCCCTTCAGGACCCAACATCCTACTAGCACTCGTTTCTCTCTCCAATCGATGTGAGATCTCACAATTCCTCTTTTGGGGACACCCTTGTAAAGAATGTTTCTATCTCCTCTCCAATTGATATATTTTATATGGAACAGACGCACAAAATCACTATCAAACATCTTTTTGTTAGTCAAAAACGCTATAAATTATGCGAGAATTAGAATGCAAGGTCTCTTATTATGATATTATATTCAAAGTACATTATCATTGGACATAGTGTATTAGAAGCTCTATGTTCTTAGGTTGATATCATACTAAATCACCACCAAACTCAAAAACTAAACCTCAGACACTTGTCGAAACATGGAGAATTGTGTTGTTGGGAAAAAGGAGGAGGAAGGAAGAAAAGCATTAGCAACCAAACATCCTCAAGTGTAGCCATTTGGGAGGAATCCCTTTCTTCACATTTTTGCAAGATCCTCCTTCATCCTTTCCACTCCTCGTCTTACCAAGTTGCCTTTTTGGAGGACTCTGTTGCTTCTTTTTCTGTTCATGTCTTTGAGTTTGAGCCTTCTCCTATCAAATGACAAAAAAAGGGGAGCTCAGATTCTAAGGAATATATCAAAACACAACCCACAACCCATCGATTGTATACCGATCGACATCGTTCGTTTGACCGTAACGATGCTCGGTGTACTCACTGTCATTATCAGTATCAGTATCAGCTTCCAACCAACACCAAAATATTCAATGCCTCAAACAACATCAACTTGACTCAAAAAGTTTCATGACAGGAAAAAGAAAAGCAAAAGCAAAAGCATAATGCTTAATTGATTACCCCCCCAACTTGAGGCAAAGGAATATAATTGCTGGATCATTTTATTTCTTGTTAATTTATTACTCTTTCCAAATCTTTGTCTGCTAGCAATTATCGTCTTTATTTTTTTCTCTTTAAACCTGAATTTGGGATATTTTTGAGGTTCCTCCATGGCTGGGATAATGGAATATGGGGTATGAAGACGATGGCTCCCCTCTGCAAAACTGTTTTGGAGTTGGAGAAGATGAACTGATATCAGCTGATGTCTGTGTTGAACCTAATGATGAAGGGTTTGAGGAGCTGCCTGAATCCATCTCCAAACATAGCTGCCAATTAAGGCAAGAAATAATTTGAGAAAGACGATGAAAAAGAAAGAACATGTTGTGAAGGAGGAATATTTGAACCTGGAAAAGTCTGTGCTCAAGAGATGCCACTCGATCCAACAATGAACCTTTAAAGTAAGTATCTTTTAGTGCAACATCCAAAGATATGCACTTCTTTTCCACGCCTCCCACTCTTTCCAACCTCTGTTTTTTCTCCAAATACTTCATCTATGCAAGAAATAACACAACCCCATATGTAAGTGAACCTCTAAATAACTATTTACAAGAAGAAAAACAGAGGAACTTACAACCAAATCCATGTAATCTAATCTGGAAAAAAGGGTCATTGAGGAAGAAGATGAGGAATGTTGTGGATGATGGGGTAATAGCTTTGCATAATCCTCCATTGGATTGGATCGGAGCTTTTGGTTTCTTGGAGAAATGGGTATGTTGTTTAGTTTTGTGGTTGCTTGTGAGGGTTTTTAGTGTGAAACAGTTATGTTTTCCCACTTTTTTCTGTTGCTGATTCAGAATAAGCATGGGATTTGGTTTTACTAAGTCAAGGGTTGAATTGAGCTGAAGAAGAACAGCCCAAAAGTGGTTTTGATTAGGCTGATCCATGGCTGCCCAATCATTCAAGGTCCAATAATGGAGCTTCATCATCTCCAGTCGTTTTTAAGAAATGGGCTTGCCAATGGGTCATCTAAGTTTTTGTCAGATCAGATTTTTCAAAACGTGAAGTATGGGATTGATATTGATATCTCTGTTTGTCTTCAAGCTCTAAATTATACCATCATGGTTGTGTTCTTGTTTTTGTTGGATGATGGAAGTCCCACATCGGCTAATTTAGGGAATGATCATGGGTTTATAAGTGAGGAAAACTAACTCCATTGGTACGAGGCCTTTTGGGGAAGTCCAAAACAAAGCAAAACCATGAGAGCTTATGCTCAAAGTGGACAATATCATACCATTGTGGAGAGTTGTGTTCGTCTAACGGTTTTTACCCATTTGTTAAACTTTGATAGAGAAGCCATCTTAGAACATTCTAGCTTTGAATGAAAAGAGTATTATATAATTGTAACCACTAGCAGTATTCTTTGTCATTCTAGCTTTGAATGAAAAGAGTATTATATAATTTTGAATGAAAAGAGTATTATATAATTGTAACCACTAGCAGTATTCTTTGTTTTGTTTTGACCATTAGATTACTCTCTCAATCGACCTGGTACAATCGACCTGAGATCTTACGGTAACAATAGAATTGAGAATAAGAAGAGTAATAAAAAATAAATAAAAATACAAGATTGATCCTTCGGTATCTATACTGCCTTTATTGCGACAAGCACAATTTTTTTATTTTTTTTCAATAAAAAAATTAAAAAAAAAAAAAAAAAAAAAA